CAGCGCTGAAATTTTCTCCAAAGGAACTTCTTTTAGGATTAGTAGTCAACACACCGAAGACGAATGTAGAAGAAAGCGCGTCAGCGACATGCACTTCAGACCCACTAACTCAAATAGCATACGTCGAACAACAACGGTTGGACGGATACGATGAAGTAGTGCGACATGCGATCAAGAGGAAGGCAGCATTTGATAAAAAGTTGCTACAACGAGCGCCAGGTGAGGTTATATTTCGAATCGGACAACTAGTTCAAGTATATCGCAATGATTTAGATTATACATTCAAAGCAGAACGAAAGCTCATACCAAAATGGTCAATCCCAAGGCGTATACGAGAGAAGATCCTAAACTTGTACAAGCTTGAAGCGCTGAACGGAATCCCAGTTCAAGGAGAGTTTAGTGCAAGACGACTCAGAGCATTCACCCCGAGAACGGGAACGAAGTTAGCAAGAGAACAAGAAGAGCATGAACGCAGAATCAGAGAGAGAGGAGACGACGACACGGAAGCAGATACAGAAGATAGAACGGAGAAAGAATCAGAGAAACAGAAGGGACATGAAGAAGAAGAGAACGACCAGACAAGAGACGAAGCGGATGAAGAAGAGAACGAATAGGACAATAGAAGTGATAGTAGGAAGAACGCCGAGGACGGCGTTGGTTGTTTTTTAGGGGGGTGCATGGACCGGGGGTCCCAAGGCATAGACCAAAGGAAGAGACATAGACAAGAGGCAGTTGGTCCTTCGGCGATAGCCATAGCTTAGTCAGCGACACGCGCACATAGCCAAACTCTGTTCATAGTGTAACACATCATCACGCATCATAGAGCTCTCCCCTCACTGCTTTCGTCCTAGTCCACCGTTGATTCACGTGGTCGTATGGCACCCGTTTCTCCGTGCTTACCCCTGGAGATCGAACACTTCTGGCAACCACCAATCTGAACATTTAAGCGCTGATCGTGTCCAATTGTGCTCGCCTCTGCAGATCTGAGGCCCTGCCGCCGGCCGGCCTACCTGTTTGGCCGATTGATGTCGCGGTCATTAAGATCATCAGGCATGCTACCGCAAGGAGGCGCATAGTATGTATAAATAATACTGATCCAGGGGGTCACAACAAGAATTATCCGCGAGCATCAGAACGATTCCTTGTCCACATGTATCCTCATCGCTGTTCCGTGGATCTGGTCAATATTTGATCGAGCTAGGGGGCTGATCAGCACCGAGCGGCAGTGAGGCCTCAGGCAACGAGTCTTTTTTTCCTCAGTAATAATGTCCGTCTTCTCTGTAATATATTATAGGTTCTCTCATCTTTTGAGATCGAAGATTCCCGTTGGCACAGTTTGGGCGCAATCTCATCTTGGTGAAGATAGGAATAAACGATAGTCCCTATCCTCATGGACTGCCTTGCAGGACTTCAGCACAAAAATTCTTGGAATCAAACCATTGAGCTACTAGTGAGTGTGGTAGAAGGGGCTGTAGTCGACTGAGTAGCGAAAGCCAGAGCCGTTGAGTGTGCTACCTCGGCAGTCCACGCCCTTCGCCTCACAACGCGAAGAATCAGCATTTGAGGGGAAATACACTAAAAACGAATTAGCAACAGAACTTTGGACATGGAAGCCGTCACCACTCACAGTAAACATTCCGTACAAAGAGAGGAAGATAATTGAGGAATAGCTGACAAGGCCGAATGACACAAGAAATGCGATCCCAAATAATGTGAATGGTACCGCAGACTCGACAACAATGGCCACTATAGTGAAGTAATCCCTTGAAGCTTCGTGACCAAAATGATGTTGCATGAGCCTTGCACAAAATATTATGCGGCCACAGATGAGACAGGTAACAAGGACGTTGAGGCCAATGGTCAAGCAGATATACACCAATCCAACATGTGCTTTCAGCCCCTCATAGAAATTGTGATTCGGGGAAGCACTAGTGATGAGGTTTAAAATCCCTAAAACTGTTGATTGACTGAGTAGCTGCAAGAGAAGAAGAGGACTAACGGACCGAGAGACGATAACCAGAGGCAACAGGGGACGAAAAGCATGCTGTAACTTCGACGCCAGACCGTGAAACATCGCAGAATCTGATTTAGTATCAGTGCACTCTTTCCGGGACGAACTAGAGAGTACACTCACGAGTAGACCATCAGTCATCAACTGCAGCAGGGTGGACGCAACCGCACTCATCGTCAGATACCACGCTGACATGTTGGCATTAAAGTATGCGGACGCTCCACCAGGATAGCCTGCATGATTAATCCACATCTCCTGTCCCGAAAATAATCGTGTGGTCACGAAGATCGTGATAAGGAAGATTAATATAGTGCTGAAGACCATGTAGAACTTGTCGGAGGGCCTGCGTTCTAATTGTTTGTCGAAATATGCTTGCATGGTGCTGAGATACAGCATCAAAACCACACCTGTAGACTATCAAGTCAGGAATAACAACATCTCCATGGTCAGACAGAGTGATTACCGTATAGAATGGAGTTGGAAACATTGCTAAAGTAGAATGAGTTTTGCAATATTGCGTCGGACATGACTGCAGCAGCCTCAGAGCTCCTAAGATGAAAATTCAGTGGTTAGCATGCGTATCCTCATGAGAGTGCGTCTCATAAATAAATATCTCGAAGCCCTGACATACAGAATTCAAAGGCAGTGAATCCGATGCCACGGTGGCCAATGTATATGGATCCTAGAGCAGGCAGGGCTGTCGCGGAGACATGGCACATTGCTTAATACAAAAATGGATATTTATTTTCACTTGTGCCGTGACTTTCACAAGCTACTTACCAAATATTTGCGAACACGCGCGCGCCGCGCGGGTGCCACACAAAGACAAAAAAGTGGGCAAGTTCAACATCATATTGTATTTGAGTAACGAGGGAAAGACAACGGAAGCACCTTGAGCACACTTTGATCGTGCCATCGACATCTCTTTGTTAGAAGTTTGGAATTCGGGCGAGGGAAGGTAGAAGCTTGGCCTAGGATGCGCAACGACAACTTAAATGATACGCAAGTAGTATGTAGAAACGCTGGTTAGTCAATCTTTATTGAGGATCAACGTGTACTATAAGCGCTACTAAGTACTAGTGGCCCATCAGTAAACCAGTGAGGCTCAGATATTAGTACTAGATTTTGTAGTGGTCATGACGAATTTTGTGAACATACACCAATGGGCGAAGTCGTGGCAGTGCACCGTAATCAAGCTCAAGCTCAAGTCAAAGGCCATGTCATAACAATATTTGACACACATAGTTTCAAGTTAGGCCTTCAAATTAGGACTCAGGTGTAACGCGATGTCAGGAATGTTGCAAACCTAGTGATCATGAGGCCGCAGGCGCCGCCACTCACTATGCCTGAGGCATGTGCATGAGACTTGGCTGCGGTGTCAGATAGCCGGGAGACGGCATTCAGGGTACCCTTGGCAGGCCTCAGGCTAGGGGCATATCAGAACGTGCGAGGGGCAAAGTGCCAGATTTAGTTTAGGAGTGAGCGTAGCACGTGATGTCAAGGCCGCGCCAACGCATGTACAAATTTTTTTGTATTCCTCACACTACTAATCACCCATTTCCTTGTCTTACAATGTCCTTCTGCTAGCTTGCTCCTAGCAAGAGCTCGATCGAACAGTGCACTTGTGGAATCTCGACACAAATCTACCTGTGAATCCCTTCGCCACGAAGCTGGCGTGTATTGTGTGACTCTTTCCGCTGATGGAAAGCTGCTAGTAACGGGTTGCAATGACCACAATGCGCACTCGTGGGACGTCCATCTCATACTAAGAGAAATTGGTCTTGACGACCTATTGTCTAATGTGAATCTAAATACGTTGCCCAGTCTCTATCCTGACGGTGTTCTTTCTTAGCTACCAAAAGATGAATCGAAAGCGTGCATCATCTCATGGCTATTTAATGATAGAGCATATCAATCTCCAACTCGTATAGGGCGTAGCTGACAAGCCGGTTTTGAAGGTATGTAACGCGTTTTTCAACATTTTCGATACTCTTAACCTGACATTCCAGGTTGGTACTATGAGACAGCTCGAGGATGCACATGTTTTTTGACTGCACGCAGGGGTGCGTTCATGTGGGTCGTTATCATATCAGTTGGCTTTTATGCTAACCTCATGCTCTCAGCACTCCGCAACACGCCATATCCCTCTGCACGTCGTGGCAGTAGTACTCTCGCCTTCTTGAGGTCACGTCCACGTGCAGCCATTAATCGCTTCTCCTCGTTCTCCCAACGCCCTCCTTCCATCGACCACGATGCAACACCATTTCAGCAGCACCCTAGGCAACGTTCTTCCCACCGACCCCTGTTGTGGATATTGCGGTCGTCGAGGATAAAAGGGTATCATATTCGCTTGACTATACCCCCACGGGTGCTCATGTATCTTGTAGACTTGATATGTTGCCCCACTCCGTAACAAAAAGAGCGAGATTCAAGTCACTCAGATCCAAGGACGTTCAAAGCCAACCTGTAGCATTATCATTGCCCCAGGGAACCACCACTACCGATTAAATGACCATGTCACGGTGTCGTTAATATGTTTACCGTGAGTGCAAGAATATCTTTCTTTTTAATTAGCAGGTGTGACTTGCTCGCTTTCAGTACGGAGTCCCAAATCAGGAATGAATATATGCTGTGATATTACGCACATGTAGAATTCAGACTCGATGCCCGGTTTGTGTTGTGACAAGGCCGCTGTATCAACATTCTGGGGAAAGTTCGAAGTGAGTCATGAGACTGCATCGAGCCTCGTGGTGGTGATAATTAAGTTCTTTACATCATACAGAGCGCGGGTTTTACGTCTGGAAGATCATGGCTTGTCTCTTTATAGACTATCATGATTCATCATTGATCATGGAACTATTATTCACTTAACTATCGATATGATGGCATCCGATTATCATCATGGGGTGTTAGCTATAAAACGTATCTCATCGATATCCCTGATCTTCCATACCCTCCCAGCAGTAAACAAGTCGTGCATCATCTAGCGATGGCATTGGCAATCAAGGACGATGACGCTGTAAAGACACCTAAATATTTTCCTCCACTCTTGTCCAAGAAATTCAACATCACTGATGTTAAGCAAGATGCGCTCAAGTGGGATAAGGAGTGGGAAGCGGCGATCGCATCTTCAACCGCAGCAGACGTCCTCAAGGAGATGTCTTGTTTCTTAGATGACTCTGGCTTTACTCCTGATGCTATGGAGTTCTTCCACCAGGATCTTCGCAGGGTCCAAGATAATGTAGCCAAAATCCTGCATGACCTGTTCGACAAAGGTCACTTTGACACCATCTGGTTGTTGTTGAATGTCACGGAGAAGAAGAGACATATCAATGAAGGCCTGAAGGGGGCTTGTGAAGCACGTACATTGTGGGGGCAAGATTGTCGTGCTCTTTGCCTAGAGGTCACAGTTTCGAACCTCCTGATGCAGGGCGGGAAGGGCTTTGTCGACTTTCTCGCTCGCATCTTGGAGTCATCTGAGTCATCCCTTCAACCAGCATTTCTACCAAACTCATGGTGGGAACAGGCGTCAAACCTGCCAAATCCATGGTGGGAACAGACCCCAGCCACCGATGTTCCACCTCGAGGACAAGTATCCCAAAGCACAAAGCTTCTGTTCGAAGTCGCGACTATCAATAGGAATAAATTTATCAGCAAGTGTTTCTCGCTCATATAACATCATGCGAGTCTAACATTCCATGAACAGGACACTTTGTTCTGTCCTCAGTGTTTTCAGTCATAAGTGACATCACCAATCGTAGTGAGGGGATGAAGGGGGTCCTGCACTTCATGGAGAATACAAAGGGATATGTCGCTCGAGCTGTAGCACAGGCCAAAATGACTTTCAGGGATAAACCTCTTGTCTGCTGTGAAAACTGCACGAAGACTCCAGAAGAAATTGGACAAGGTGTTCGCTTCATGGTGTACAGTGTTTGCAAAGCGAAACTCAACTTCGAGATACATTATTGTTCTCAGTGAGTAGAAGTCCTTTAATTTCGTCTTCATAACTCCCTCATGATGTTGCATCCACTAGATCCTGCCAGAAACAAGACTGGTCTCTTCACAAACGGGCTTGTGGCAAGAAGTCAGTGTCGAAGGGTCTAAGCGGAACCAAGGGAGACTCCCTTTGGGCATTCAGCAACTCCAATCCCACCGCCGAAATGCTTCGCAACTTTGACAAGGAAGGTCGGCAGCTCACGAGCCTCAGAGACATTGGCGTAAATCCCTGTAAGGGTAAACGCACCCCTGCTGCGGAGCATCAAGCTGAGATGCTTGAAGCCGACCGAAATGTCGATTACTTCCTCTTCACTGCGAGCGGTGAAGCAGTTCGCTTTGTGATTGATGATCCAGGAGCTAAAATGATCTTCCAGATCAACTGCGGTTGGGTCATGACACAGGTTACTAGTGACACCGGCGTTGAGGCTATGGGAGAGTACATACTCAAAGTCATGAGCAGATATCCCAGATTGAGTCGGAGCATCATCCTGAAGCAACTCTGTGAGGAACACAGGGCGGGCACTACTGAAAAGATCATGTGGCTGGAGAAGAAGAGTCGAGAACATGGAGACAGTACATTTATAGAGAGTTGGGTGAAAGATTCTTCACCCCTGTTTGGGGGTTGGTCTTGGCTCGGACTGCTTTGAACGTTTTGAAGTGGTATAAATTTCTTTCTTGCTCACTCATGCCATGATCTCATTAATCCACGTTTACAGTTGCTATGCATGTCAGAGATTCAGGTTTCGCTTGCAGCCATTAACCATGTTCTTTTTAAAAATCTCAATTCCGCTTCGTTTTCATTTGGGTTGTCTTTGTCGATAGTCTTTGAATAAGTGTACAGTATCCGTTGATGTAGTACTCATTCCACAACTGACTGCATATTGAATTTTGCAACATTCACATTTACCGACACTAGGTCTGCTGCTTGCATGTGCAGTGCACGAGGTAACAAAAGCTTTTCAAGTTTAAACTCCGTATTCATGGAATCCTGGTCCCTTGAAGTTCCCTTGCCATCACAAAGTTCCTCGCATGCAATGCCGCGGCCAGCTAGTAACCCACTCGAGCACTGGTCCTTTAACACTTGATTTTCCATAATAGCAGCACCCTGACTCAAGAGTCTTTGCCTATAACAACTTGAATATCTTCTCAGTGTAAGTTTTGTAAACAATATTCAGGGCCCACATCACCAAAACTTCAAAACCTATATATGGCAAGCGAAGGTCATCTCATGACATACCATCGGTCAACAGCCCCAGCAGGGTGACCTAGGCCCATCATGATGGATCAACTTCGTGTCGTCCATATATGCACGGATCAGGAATCGCTGTTGAGGATCAATCGTTCGTCATATGTGGGATGTATGCTGGTTTCTCATCATGTACTAGTCATTGCGAAGCCTTTAGAACTGCTGGGACGCTTATAATGTACTACCAGACTGATATTTCAGGATAAGCACATATCATTGTATCACCACATGGTGTGCATTACAGAAATCTACGACATGCATGATTGAAACTCTAAGGCGCTGAGTGACAACAAAAGTCCGATATAGTACAATGGCACGACAGCAATGCAAATGGAAAAGCAGTGAGTGATGGTGCACGGACAGCAACTGAGAGTAAATGAGATGAACGGTGAACTAGTTTTGAAGCAGTCAGACTAGTACACAAGGAATAAGAAATCTCGTACCAGAGAATGCCAAGTTACTTTCGACCCTTGCGTTTCTTACCAGCGCTCTTGCTGCTCTCACCTGCCTTGGCCCGCTTGCCTTTTTTTTGGACATTTTGCTGGAGAAGGGGCAACTTTGGATTCCGCGTCGGTCAGTGGGCTATCGCTATCAACCAGAAGCTCCACAGATGGGCGCTTTTTAGACATGATGGTATGGGGCACAGTGGCGACTGAGGCAGGCTTCGGCAAATGATTAGTAGGAGCCAATGCTCATGCAGGAGACGGAGTAGGTGCAGGAGGAACATGAGCACCTGAACTTGAAGAAGCATGTTGAGTGGTAGGTTTGATGGGGCGAGGTCTAGGAATGGGCCTTGCAGCTGGCGACACAATCAGGTCTTCTGGAGGAGGGGTAGTTGCAGGAGAGGATAGTTCCATTCTTGACGTAGATGTAGTAGTTGTAGTGTCCATCATTGATGTTTCGGAGTCAGGCTCGAGAGGTGTTTTATTGGCTGCACATCAACAGGTCCAGGCTGAAGGAAAGACAAGTGAAAAACGCATCATAAAATAAAATAAAACCGCACCTCAGCCTGTCCCTTTACTGTACGCATCACAAATTGTTTCTTCATCAAAGCATAGTCATCCTCTTCATCTTCGTTTTCGCTAAGGTTGAAGTTGAGTACACCCTTCTTATTAGTGAACACTGCACTTCAAAATTATAGAGCTTGAATATATTATGCGGGCGTGAAAAAAACAACACTCACTTATTCCACCACTCAAGAAGGGACTTCACCCAATCGGGGTCGGGTGCCTCGTGAATAGCTTTGATGGTGCGGTAGTATGCATCACAGTAACTGTATTTTCCGTCATTCTCGGACCACTTGTCATGCGAGGATATTCCATAGCGAGCCTGCCACTGGTAGATTAAATCAGCTGTTGATATAATATTGGAAAATGTACTTGAATGAAGGCATAGGCAATGTGTTCCGCCTCTACCTTTTGCATGTTGTGAAGTTTTGCATTGCCAGAACGAACAGTAGTCTTCTCTCCGTCATCGATGAGTGCAGAGGAAGGACTCGTGTAAATATGCCTTAGAACCTGAATGTATGAGGAGTGTGTCAATAAACCTAATCCTACTATAAAAAAAACCCCTTACTCGTTTAAGGAGATAGCCTGGCAAAAATCCTTCCTGGACATTAGAGGGGTCGAAGTCTTTTCCCAGAGGATTGCCGGCATAAGCAAGTGCCAGCCAAATGCTTGCATGAACTTTGATCTCGCCATTTTGCAGTTGCGCTTGAACTCTGTAAAGGAATGAGAGATAACACTAAATTAGAATTGTTATACATGTACTTTCTTGGCTCTTTTTGATAGGATTGCATGTGCTTGATTGGACAGAGCATACCGGCCAGCTGCGGGTGATTCATGCCCATCTTGGCACGAGACTTCGAATGGTCCGAGTAGATAGGAGGATGCAAGCTGTCACTGTCAGGGTCAGAAGCTGCATAACGCCTGATGAAGGGCTTGAGATGACTTGTGTCTTCAGAGCGAATCTGGCCAATGATATCTTGCATCTGTTTGCGATAAGTCAACACAAAACAATTTGCACATACAGCAACCCTAGAGACGTACCTCAGCAAGAATCCTATCTAGTTCTCTTTGTTGCTTCTTGTTACCTCTAGCAAGCACACCCAGGTGCGGCACCAACAAGACAATCCTCTGAAAGGTATTCATGTGATGCTCTTGGACGTCCTTAGTCCTATGAAGAAATTAGTTGCTTAAGAAATCACTGCGGGCATTTTCTCATTTTCCTCCACCAAACATCCAAAAAACATTGAATTAGAAGATAGAAATTTCTTTTTATTGTGTGTATCAAAACATTGAAAAAAAATAATGAATGTATTGAAGATTTTCTGTATGCAAGACATAATCTAAAAATGAGTCATTTTCCCTCAAGAAACAGTCTATATTTTTTATTCATCATTCCTCAAATAACAATTTACAATCATGTCAATTTTTTGGCCTCTGTTTTTCCAATGTTCTGTGTATCAAAAATCTCAATTACTTCATCCTGTTCACCATATGTTTGATCCAAGAACATTGAAAAATCATATAACAAATAATAATAAATATTTTGACAATGTTTTGTTAAGGAAAAGCAAAGAAACTTTCAAACTTTCATTTGTATATTTGATCAGAGGAAATTTATGAAACATGCCCCATGTTTTGTAAGAATAAATACATAATGTTTGCAGTATATTCCTCCGGCACAACACTTAAAAAACATTTATTATGTTCAGAGAAAAAAAATGAAACATGATTGCAGGATACTCTGCCTCAGAACATGCACAAATTATACATTGTTTTCTGCACACAATAGGTGGAAAATACAGCATTATCCTTGAAGGAACATGATGAATTTTTGCATCATGTCCCACACACAGAAAATCATTGAAACATAAATTATTATTTTTTCAATGTTTTGACAGACAAAATGAAGGTACACTGGTCCAAGTAGTGCTGCTAAGAACCAAGAACCATTCGGCGGGGAAATGAGAACAAAATGGTGTGACAATATAGAAGGGTTTTTTGAGAAGATTTTTAGTAATGGTGAAGCGATGAGTATAGAGGCAAGGTTGAGAGTGGGGGCGCAAGTGCCAAACCTGGGTCCAGTTCTACCAGAGTCGACAAACCCTGGATTGAACCTTTGCAAACTGTTCAGAGTGGTCATGTTTGGTTTTTTTGGGGTTCAAATGTGAACCATCCATGTCACAAGCCAACAACTGGACTGCTTGGTGCAGCACTGAGGCAGTCATGTACTAAATACACCAACTGCAGTTTCACAGGCAGAAAGAAATGCAAATTAATGCCAAGTGATGTCAAGGAGCAAAAGCAGCTGGTTGTGCATAAGAAAGGCTGACTTAAAGGATTCATCAATTTTCTGTGTCCCATGGGCCATGACATGTGTAAGGATTGTCTATCCTCTACACACGGCCCGCACCTCAAAAAGGAAATCTGAGAACTGTCATTCACAAAGTCCACGTGACTCACGGATGCGAGAAAGCTCTACACTTTGCATCCGAGTTATGTGGATACATTCTCTCACTTCTCCATTCTCTCTTTTTCCGTTATCTTACCTTGTGCTCAAACTTCACGATACCCTTGTTTCACCAAAGTATTTTCACCTCGCCATATGCTCCCCATTCTTATTTCAGCCTAGTAAAGTACTTGAAAATGTATTTATACTGCTCATGTACACTCATAACAACAGCAGAATCATATGTTGGTTCCCTGCTCAAAGCAAACTTTGCTCTACAGAAAGTCTTAGCCTCTCGAAATGTTTCGTCTTCACACTTGCACCCCTACTCTCAACCTTGCCTCTATACTCATCGCTTCACCATTACTAAAAATCTTCTCAAAAAACCCTTCTATATTGTCACACCATTTTGTTCTCATTTCCCCGCCGAACCAAAACCAGCCTTACACATGCAAGATCCAACAAACAGCGGGCATTTGTATTGTATCACTATGTGGTACATTGTTCAATTGTTAAAGAAAGTCGCCATGAAAAGCCTGAATGTATGGCACCACAAGCAGAGAGCGGTTCATAATTCAGCTTTTGTGTCCACATTTGACAAGCCCCTGATGTGGTACATGGAGTCTCCCACTCATTCAAGACCCATGGCATCAGTAAATTCACACATTCCTTAATCTCCTTAATCAGTTTATCTCACTTGTCCCAAAACTTGTTTGCTCTCTCTTGCATCATTCACCTGGCATGTTTCATATTTTTTTAGTGTGAAATATAATAAAACATGTATGTTAATATACATCAACAATTTTTTTCTCTTGCAATGTTGGACAAGTAGATCCACCTTTCGCCAAGACACTTAAGTGTAAATAAGTGTAGATAAGTCTGTTTAAGGACAAATTAAGTAATAATTTCCTGATGACTGGATGGGCGGAGGTGCATGCACCATTATACTGGAGATGTATCCATCTTCCGAATGCAGGTCGATCGGCAGAATCAACACTGTCGGGATCAGAGCCAAGCCCAGCACTGCTGGCAACGGACGAACGCGGAAAAAAAGAACGAAACGCGAGGACAAACGGACAAACGCGAAAAAAAAAAACGCGGACAAACGAGTGAACGCAAGGGCAGACGAGGGAACGCAAGGGCAAACGCGACGAAAAGAAGCGGACAAACAAGACAAACGCGAGGACAAACGGACAAACGCAAAAAAATGCGGACAAACGAGTGAACGCACGGGCAAACGCGAAAAAACACGCGGACAAACGAGCGAACGGGCTGCTGATCACGATCCACATTATTGGAATAGTTGGGGCAGTAGGGCCAGGCACCCTCTTGAGGTGGGAGGTAGCTAGGGTCCCTGGTTTTCAAACGAGTCAATGCAAGGACAAACGAGTGAACGCACCGGCAAACGAGGGAACGAGGGGACAAACGAGTCGACGCGAGGACAGACGAACGAACGCAAGGGCAAACGAGTGAATACGGGGACGAACGAACGAACGCGAGGACAAACGCGGACAAAATAACCGGGAGGACGTTAGCAACATAGTGTGTTATAGCCAAACGCGAAAAAAACACGGACACACGAGTAAACGCAAGGGCAAATGAGTAAACGCGGGGACAAATGAGAAAAATGCGGACAAACGAAGGAACGCAAGGACACACGAAGGAACGCGAAAAAAAAACACGGACAAACGAGGGAACGCAAGGGCAAACGAGGGAACGCGGGAACAAAAGAGGGAACGCGGGGACAAATGAGTAAACGCGAGGATAAACGCAAAAAAAATGCGGACAAACGAGGGAACGCGGGAACAAATGAGGGAACGCGGGGACAACTGAGTAAACGCGAGGATAAACGCGAAAAAAATGCGGACAAACGAGGGAACGCAAGGACGAACGGACGAACGCGAGGATAAACGCGAAAAAAACGCGGACAAACGAGTCAGCGCAAGAACAAACGGATAAACGAGGGAACGCAAGGACAAATGAGGGAACGAACGGGCAATCGCGAAAAAAAAACGCGGACAAACGGGTGAACGCAAGGACAAACGAACGAACGCGAGAAAAAAACGCGGGCAAGCGATTCAACGCAAGAACAAACGAACAAACGCGAGAACAAACGCGAAAAAAACGCGGACAAAGGAGGGAACGCAAGGACGAACGAGCGCGAGGATAAACGCGAGACAAACGAGTCAACGCAAGAACAAACGGACGAACGCGAGGACAAACGAGCGAACGCGGGGACAAATGAGGGAACGCGCGGACAACTGAGTAAACGCGAAGATAAACGCGAAAAAAAATGCGGACAAACGAGGGAACGCAAGGACAAACGAACGAACGCGAGGATGAACGCGAAAAAACGCGGACCAACGAGTCAGCGCAAGAACAAACGGACAAACGAGGGAATGCACGGGCAAACGCGGAAAAAAAACGCGGAAAAACGAGTGAACGCAAGGACAAACGAACGAACGCGAGAAAAAAACGCGGGCAAGCGATTCAACGCAAGAACAAACGAACAAACGAACAAACGCGAGAACAAACGCGAAAAAAAACGCGGACAAACGAGGGAACGCACGGGCAAACGCGAAACAAAAACGCGGACAAACGAGTGAACGCAAGGACAAACGAACAAACGCGAGAAAAAATCGCGGGCAAGCGATTCAACGCAAGAACAAACGAACAAACGCTTGATGCTGTCCTGATCAGCCAATTTTTGACGCTTGGCTTCAAGGAAGTCCTTGTGCGCTTGATCGGCGTTCGTGACATCCGTTCTGGCGGACTCCAGTTTTCGGTTAAGCTCGTCTCGTTTTACTTGTGTGTCTGCAGCGAGACGATGCTCTTCTTCAGCGATATTTCGCGTGTAGTTCTTAATGGCATCACTGAGAGAGTTAAGAGAAGTGTTCATTTGTTTCTCGTCATTCTATGAAAAGACAATCATGTCAGACAAGTAAAGCAGAAGAATAGGTATATAGACCTTGAAGTTTCCTATCTTCACTCGGTTGCCGCGCATTTTCTCCTGTAGATCGTCGCGCTGCTTGGTGAGGTGATCAATATCGCCAAGTGCGGAATCCGCTTTATCGAATTGTTCTACAGCATCGGAGGCAAGCTGGAATTGGGACTAACGAGAATATGTGAGCATATGAATATCGGTACCCATGACTTTCTAGGAGCACACCTCGGCTGTCTTCATCTCAGCCTCGATCTTGCGCAAGCGGCGTTCCGCCTTCGCAACTTCCTCAAGCTTTGCCTCCATTTCCTAGAAATTATAACTGCATCAGTTCGTTATTCACGATACACACAATCAACCATGTCAGACGGATCAAAGGGGATATTGAGGAGATCAGTTCTTACCGCTTGCGTCGCTGCGACGTGAGCCCAGGCAAGCTCCTTCTTGAGCTCATCAACCTTGCAGCGCTGCTCTCTTGCCTTGCTTGCTTCTTCAAAGCGCACGCTAGCCTCTTTGAATGCAGCGCGTAGGTCAGGGGGAACTTGCTTTTTCTGGTGTAACACCTTCTTGGTCTGGTTGATATTATCAAGGCAAGCGTCATATTCCTCAGAAAGCTGCGATAGCTGGGTGCCTCGCAGGAAGAACTGCGATGCATATATGTGACCTATAGAGCTGTTTCAGCATCTGCTTAACACACTCGAAGTGACACTCACCGATAATGAAATTAATCTGAGGTCCAAACGTGAAAGTAAGTCGTTTGTGGCACATGAAATGGTGCATCTCAATGGACTCAATTATTCCATGCTCTGCGAATACCCTACGGCACATAAATCAGCTTGAGCCATAGGCAGAGGTAGCCGAAATCCTACTAACACCAAAGGTATTGCGCTTCTGCTCGAGGCGCTGGCGAATGGCCTCGCCATTGAGTTCCTCGAAGCGTTGTTCCTCTTCCTCGTTGTGCTCCTCCTGGGTTAAATCTTCTTCGTCTTCTTCGTCGTCGCTATCCTCCTGACGCGCCTTATCATTGCTATTGCCAGACTTCCTACGTGTCGCGACCGGTCAACAACGACCTCATCAATGCTATCAAAAGTTCTGGCACGCTTGGATTGTTGAGCGCGAAGACAGACGAACGAACGCAAGGGCAAACGAGTGAATGTGGGGACGAACGAACGAACGCGAGGACAAACGCGAACAAAATAACTGGGAGGACGTTAGCAACATAGTGTGTTATAGCCAAACGCGAAAAAAAAAAACACGGACAACCGAGTGAACGCAAGGCAAATGAGTAAACGCGAAAAAAAATGCGGACAAACGAAGGAACGCAAGAACACACGAAGGAACGCGAAAAGAAAATACGGACAAACGAGGGAACGCAAGGGCAAACGAGGGAACGCGGGGACAACTGAGTAAACGCGAGGATAAACGCGAAAAAAAAATGCGGACAAACGAGGGAACGCGCGGACAACTGAGTAAACGCGAAGATAAACGCGAAAAAAACGCGGACCAACGAGTCAGCGCAAGAATAAACGGACAAACGAGGGAACGCACGGGCAAACGCGGAAAAACGAGTGAACGCAAGGACAAACGAACGAACGCGAGAAAAAAACGCGGGCAAGCGATTCAACGCAAGAACAAACGAACAAACGCGAGAACAAACGCGAAAAAAAAATGCGGACAAAGGAGGGAACGCAAGGATGAACGAGCGCGAGGATAAACGCGAGACAAACGAGTCAACGCGCAAGAACAAACGGACGAACGCGAGGACAAACGAGCGAACGTGGGGACAAATGAGGGAACGCGAGGACGAACGCAAGGGTAAACGAGCGGACGCGGGGACAAACGAGGGAACGCAAGGACAAACGAACGAGCGCGAATTCCCTGACCTGTAGACCAATCAGATAATTTCCGAGCATCGCCTCTCCGACTTCAGCGATCTGCAAGCGCCAATGCTGAGTGTCATTGAACGGCACACCTGCGCAAGAAGGTCAGTGACAACAAGAGTATTATCACGTATCGCATACCCATGTACCAATAGACATCAGTGAGTGCAGATATCTCGGCCATCATTTTGATGATCTCAGTTGTGAAGACAAGGGGCGGCGTTGCCGTCTTGGGAGTGTTCAGTCTCAGGATAATCGAGTAAAGAAAAAAGCACTTACGGGGTTGGTTATGCCTGCGTAGTTCTTCTCGAGAGCTCCACCGTCCGGGGCAACTGGCCACTAGGGTAGCGAGTGAACGTGAGGACAAAAGGACAAACAAACAAACGCGAGGACAAACGGGCGAACGCGAGGACAAACGAACACACGAACAAACGAACAAACGAACAAACGAACGAACGAACAACGAACAACGAACGAACAAACGAACAAACGAACAAACGAACAACGAACAAACGTAAGGACGAACGATCGAACCCAAGGGCAAACGATGTGACCTTGTCGCAGGTGGGTTAGGCGCCCAATCGAAGGCGGTCGAGCCTGACTATCGTATTGTGTGTCAGACGTGTTCAGGTGCCATGTCCGCTTCGAACGAAGTCGACAGAGTATTCGTCAGAATTGGTTCAAGGAACAACTTGAAGGAGCATGGTAGGGAGCATGGTAGGGACACGACATGCACGATTTGATCGACCACTTTCGTTCGCGGAGGTAGGCCTTTGAAGAGGGATCATCGAGCATGGTGGACCTGCCGTATCAAATTTAAACCCAGCTGACACAACAAAGGTGAGTTGAAGAACTTTGGCCACCTCTTGTTAGTGTTTGTGCGACGCACTCTTGAAGGCTTCTAAACGCTCATCGCACAAAGACGCCCTCTTGTTAGTGTTTGTGTAACATATTTTAGCGTCCTGCGGGCAGTTTAAAAGAATTTATCCGAAAAGATGATCCTGAGTGCGTTGTCTCGCATGCGACGTGTTGTCTCGACAGAAATCAGATCAACCACCGAAGTATATTATTATTCAAGATTCGAGGAAAGATTACCGGCCAAATGAACGAACGCGAGAGAATTCCTTTGCATTCCATACGGACGTTCCGAACTCGAGGATCTTTGGTGGGGGAATATGACTTCTACTGCAGGTGTGGAAGCCGGGAACATGGAGATCTCCAGGAAGAGAGTGAAGTGGCCATTCAGTGCCATAACTGCGAGCGCTGGTCTCATGTTGCTTGCCAGAGGGATGGCCGGGCAAGTAATTTGGCAAAAAAGGAGCCATTTTATTGTGATACTCCGGACTGCGCACCGTATAGTGATCGTGTCTTGCTTGCACAAATTAGACGTCCTAAGCGGTAAGGGTCCCTAATTGTTACTATAAGTCGATGATATACCCTTTACAGTGTTTCCCGCCACATAACTGTTCCTATGACGAAACGTTTGTTGTGGGTTTCCCTGGATATGCAAGTGATAGCATGAACTCATTTACTATGTACAGACCAGGAAAGGGAGCATTAGCACGCCATGACAAATATTGGTACCCTGTCAGGATCAAGTCATGTCGACAGGTTAGGGGAAACACGTTGTATACAGTCAAATGGTGGAGGCATTGTTCTTTCAAACCCAACACTCAACCTCCACTTGAACTTGGCGAGGCAGACTTAGTTGATGCACTCTATGGAGATCATAAACATCGTCGCATGATTCGGGTGTGTACAACTCTTGAGATTCTATAGCAGACTTTAACATCCAAATCATAGCTTGGCAGATGGACACATGCGCACGAGGTTCCCCAGCACGAAGACATCATCGCGAACTTTAGACACATTCCCTACAGCGTGTATATCGACGAAGCATTGGCTCCTCACAGTCAACTGCTCACAAATATTTTTGAGCAACCTGATGCTGCAAAGATGCGCAACGCAGTCCCAGTAATTGGGTACCTTGCCGACCTATCGGAGAAGACAGGTCGCAAGCATACTACTGTGCCATATTGTGGCGATTTGTCTCTCACAGACTGTGCTCAGATTGCGAACTGGGTCTACCATCACATCCCTGGTGCATCAAAACAAATTGTCAATTGGCTAAACTGTGCTACCTATGCGCATGCGTGCACTATTGTAGTTGCAAAACGGAAGAAGAATCAACTACAGGAGATGGCCGAAGATATTTTGACTGAACGTCGCTCAGCAGCACTTGACATAGACTCCAAGTCAGTTCCTACTCCCGAAGAGGAAGCAAATGCGATACTCCAGGCGGCCTGGCTTGACCTCCAACTCAGCTATGATCTGTCTGCGATGGACGTCGACGTTGATCTAGAGTGCCTTGGTATACTCGAACAGCGAATGTTCGAACTCTCGTTGGCCGCAGGTGCTGCAGGGAATGAACAATGGGGAAAAGACGCTGGCACGCACCAAGACCGATGGAACCCATATGAGGGTCTCCCCGAGCACTGGAATCATGGTGACCGAGATCCGTATGCACCAGAATTTGAAGGAGAACTGGATGTGCGTCGTTTTCATATTCACAGTGGCAGGTTGCATTAAAACAGTGCCGACCAACAGTGTGGGCCGAACTTTAGTGAAGGAAGTGAGCCCGAAGTCGTTGAGAAAGAGAAACATACCAAAAAGCCCAAACCACGGCCACGGCCACGGCCAAGGAAGGTACATGGAAGTACTTGACGTGCGCGAGGATGAACATGCTATGCGCAACGCAGTCCCAGTATTTGGGTACGCAAGCACAAACGAACGAACACGTGGGAAACAAACAGGCTGCTGACCACGATCCACGTTATTGTAATAGTTGGGGCAGTAGGACCAGACACCCTCTTGAAGTGGGAGGTAGCTAGGGTACCTGGTTTTAAAACGAGTGAACGCTAGGACAAACGAGCGAACGCACGGGCAAACGAGCGAACGCGGGGACAAACGAGTCAACGCAAGGGCAAACGAGGAAACGCAAGGGCAAATGAGTAAAAATAAGTTCCGGCTTCCTGGCGATATGGTTTATAAGTATTTACGAGCGTATC